GAGAAAAAAAAATAAATACCTGTTTATCCAATGGATATGCCTCGTTTTATTCATCTAATTTCAGAGAAGTGTCCCAATCTAGTCTAACTGCTAGAGGATCATCTACTGCCTTAGTAAAATCAAAGACTACAAAATTTCGATCCTGTAAATATTTATCAATTATCTTGGATACTTTTTTCGGATTATCTGTATATTGAGGTATAATTCTACTAATATTGTCTTTACTACCTGATCCCCAAAATAGGCATAAATGTGAGATATTTTCACGAATAATTTTAGGTGTTTGTGTATATTTCTGGCTTACATATATAGGTGAGACATTTTGGTGCTCGCCACTAATGAAGTAAGAAATAATTCGTTCTTGCACTTTTTTGGGTTCAGCACATAGATTCTCAAAAACAATAACTGTACTTCATTCCGGAGAGAACTTTGTTATATCTGGGATCTTATCTGGCAATATCCATTTAAATATAACATCTTCTCAATATGATTTTGGAGCATTTGCAAAGATCTGATAGCTATTTTGTACAAGTTGCCATTTTGGCTCAAAATGTTTGGTTCTAATCTGAGATCATCATTTCTAATATACCGATCACATTTTTTTCCATTAAACATACATTTTAGTTTGTCACCAAGCATGAGATTTATTCACATGTTAGTTTTTTCACCATTTGAGCTTCTATTTATGAGCATCCTAAATGGACAGTCTGGTGAATATTTATTACCCTTCATTTGTTCTGATGATTTTTTAGATGTCTCATTGATATTATATACATATATGGGCATGCCTTTATCTTTTATTCTAACCAGGATAAGCAATATTTATTTTTTATACGATAAATAATCTCTCTTGTAATTTGCTTTTTATATAGAAAAATAAATTACAATCAAATGGGATACAAATAAGATCTATACCTCGCTCTTTGCATATATCCCGCTTTTTTTGATCACACTTCCTCTGTGAATCTAAATCTATTTCTCCTCGTTTATGAAACATTGAATTCTGAGAATAATGTTGAACCCCGTTAAATTCCCATGCCAATTTTAATTCTTCATTATACCCATCTAGTTACATCCTATTCAAAAATGACGGTTTATATGATGGAAATTTTTTACCAAGCAGATCTTCGAAAATATATCTACAGTGATGCTCATTGGTGTGATGGAAACAAAGTGGGCACCATTCAAATTTCATAGCTATTAATGGATATGGATATTCCTACTGATGTTTTCCGTTTTCATAGGACTAGAGATATACATCAAAACCATTTATTTGGCTAGTTTTTTCAATGCAATGTCCACCTCACCTTTCAGCATAAGCCTAAGCATTAGCTATTTTATTAACAACACAAATAAAATTAACAGACCTGGAATGAGTATTTTCTTTCAATATACTCTGGGGCAAATATTGCACTTTTTCTAAATTTATGTACATGAGCTCCTCTCTCACAAATCCTCACTTTGGAGGATATTCATCGTCATCGCTTTCAAGATAATATAAAACTGGTTTGTTTTTTGTTATCACAATTTTGCGAATTTTATGTAATGAAAGACTCCATACTGGGTCAGTCATGTGACGTGCTGTTTCCATACCTTCTTCCCACTCCGCATTAGCAAGCAGATAGCGAATTGTATCACCCTTCTTCAATATATTCTCCTCATATTTCTCAACAGAACGCTTATACTTTATAGATAGCCTAGATTCTACTCATTCCAGTTTGATAGCTTTTGTTGGAGCTAACCTCCACTTCGAGGATCCAGGAGCTCTAATAAGACATGTTGGATAATTATTTAAATAATCTATTACTTCGGACAAATACTTAACCCATACTTTTATTAATTTAGGATCTGAGGATATACTTTCAACACTATATTGGATTTTATAAAGCATTTCTGCAAGTGTCTTACAGAATCTGTCTACAATTGCTAGACTCCGATGACTATATGCACCAATCAATATAATTGTTATATTATACTCTTCCATTATTTTATTCGTCTCACCCATAAATTCACGCCCTTGGTTGCATTGTAGAAGTGTTGGCCATACAAGTGGATTTGATGAATTATTATAAATTTTTTTGAAGGCTTTGGCAACGTCTGAGCTATTTTTTGATGTAAGAGGAACAGCACATTTAAAACATGATGCAAAATCTATAATAGTGAGTACCCATTTATACGTTTTTTTATTAACAATATCATTTGTAAGGTGCAATAAATCATACATATTGTCGTGGGCTAACTGGCGAGTCTGTTGTCAAAGATAGATAAACTTTGCATAACGTGGGTTTAAACTCTTGAGGCATGTTACGATTTGACTGATCTGGTTTCGCTTCCTAACTTTACACTGAATGTCCTATACTGGAACTTTTGTAGTTGCTAGAATTTTCCCAATTTTTCTAGCCGAACTCTGGTTTGTATAGTCACGTGAGCAAGGTATGGACGTGAAAACAATTGATAGAAATAGTAAATACGAATGAGAGTTTAAATGCTTCGAGTCAGATTTTTCAGTAAATGCTACCTAAAGTCTGCTTGGCTTTATTTCGCTTATTCGATGGTCATATTTATATATGCTAGTTTGTTTACATGCTAATCGCTTTGCGCCACACGATTACATAAGGCATTCTACTCTAATTTTCCCATCGATTCTACCATAAACATATTATTTACGTGACACAACACGTACCATGTCATTGTACCTCACTTTTTACCTATGACAATATGTACACAGTTCGGACATGAAATTTTTCTATAACTTACTCATGTAGTGTTTTTTGATGACGAAGCATATTTTTGCTATTCATTCTGATTATGCAACCATTCACGAACTTTTTTATATAGAAAATTATATCCTTGATCTCTGACAGCATTATACAATTTTCAAGCATTGAAATGATAACCAGTAGATTGGTAAAAAAACAATTTACAGATTAAGTTTAATTTCTCATTTGGATTGATTCTAATAATAGGTTTGCTCAATTTATGCGAAGCATAGTCTAAGGACCTATTCATTTTCGATATATTTTACTATAGCAATAAACTATGTTTTAGCAAAGCCAAGAGATAAGTCAATATAATATACTGTAAAAATAGCTATGACATTTCAGAGACCCCGACCTTCCAATTGAAATTTTCACACATCAGCTTCTAATCAGGAGTTAGAGCTAGAGCAAGCAAATTGGATCTTAAGAGACGAACTCTCTAATGAAATTTCAATCAATAGATTGAATAAGAAATATATAAAAAATCTGGAATGTAAATATATCCAGTATGAGAAAAAAATCTAATCTCTTAATAAAGAATTAAAACAGATTGAGAATACTTCAGAGAAAGAAAAGGCAAAGTTGAGATTGGAGATATCATCCCTTAAAAAAAACTTATATTAAGCCACAAAGGAGGTTCAGGAGATTAAATTCTATAATGCTAATCTAGAACAGCAGTTGCAAGAATATTATGAGAAAATGGAAAATCCGAAGTATAGATTCAAAGTTATTTTTTCCCAAAGAAGCTCTCCAACTTTATATAATTTAGAAAGGGAAGATACCAATATGGCAAATCTTGACCTTTTTATACAAATTGATCGAGGCTTAAATCGTATTGAAAATCATATTTGAGGTGCTAGTACTCCATTAAATGTTCTTTGAATACTGTCCGCCTTAATTACCAAAACGCGTATCAGGATATAGATGGTGTTATCACCCAACGAGATGATAAAGATAATCAGATAATCCAGCTACAACAGGATGTCAATTTCTATAGACAACAAAATGTCAACCTTCAGAATCAAACCAATCAATTTATTCAAGCCCAAGATATCTTGCAAAATCAAACCAATCAACTTGTTCAGGAGCAAGATACTTTGCAAAATTATGTTAATCAACTTATACCAGAACGAAATATTTTGCAGAATCGTGTCAATCAAATTACTAGATATCTTAATAACAGCCAACAAAGATATAATTTGCGAGAGCGTTTGTGGCATAATGTTACCTTGGCATTAGAAGAACAATCTAAACTCAGGCATTCTTTCGAAATTATTTATAAGATATCTATTCATTGGCTAAAGTGAGAGCTACAACAATGCCAGGCTGATAAAGGATTATTAGAATATAATTGAGATCGAATCTTTGATAAATATTACAGTAAATTCAAGGATCGAAAGGCGAGTCATATCAAGTGAAAAAATAGAGAGCACAATTTACAGCAATTAATTTTAAATTTACAAGCCCAAATATTATTATTACAAAAAAATATATCACAGAATCATAATAACAATCGAACAGGTATGGTGGGTTATGAATTAAAAAAATTCAATGGATATACTACTGAAGATTCCGAAGAACATATTGAAGAATTTAGATTGTGGCTTGCAGGTTCTGGAATAGATGTAGGTGCTGGTTATGCTAATAGAATTAATGCTCATGGTGTTTTTAGAGCGTCTCTCAAAGGGGATGCTAAAGATTGGTATGAAAGAACCATCCATGGGAAAAATTGGGAGTTGAGAAATTTACTTAATAATACAACGCAAGCAAATTTAGCTGGTATTCAAGGAAGAAATGCTGATCAAATTGAAGCACAGGCCTTAAATTATGCAAACGGGCAGAATGGAAATGTTATAATTCCAGCTTATACAGTATTTGATAAAGATTGGTCTTTTGCTAATGGACGATCAACTGATAACTTATCCAATACATTCAATGCTAATACAGGTAATACTGTGATTGTACCTGGTATTCGACTCGGACAAGTATTATACTGGTTTAAAACCAACTATCCTATAGTTATGGCTGAAAAACAATGGGTACTTTTTGGTTTAACTGTTCAAGGAAGCGATCCAGTTGGCCGTTTCTATTCTAACTTATGTAAATTAGCTAGGCTTGTGAATATTGATAAACAACAAATTCGATTACAATTTTTTCGTGAACTTTTACCCATCAACCAGATGGAAGTTTGTCATTTAGGAATTGAAAAATTACCAGATAAATTGCTTCTGAAACTTGAAGAAATTGAAAGATATACAGCAGAACAATTATCTGGAGCTTACTTGCATTCAAACTCAGATGTGGTAGCCAGTAAAGGTCACGGAAAGAATAATTACTCAAACAATACAGATATGACCAAAGAAGAAATTGAAAATCTGATAAAAGGTATTATGGCATCTTCACTATCTCAACCCGTTTCACAAACTATCTCTTTTAAACCTCAAGAGAACCAGATCATACTTTCATAAGATGATTTCAAAAAAATTATAGCGGATTTGAAGGAAACTATTGCTAAAGGACAGCAAACTTTGAAGAAACCCTCGGACCAGGAAAACAAAAAGCTAATGATCTTGCTATAAACCATTTTTAAGATAGTGTTTTTGATAACACAGGTTTATCAAAAGAAGCTTATAACTATGATCTCATTGAAGATTTAAGAAAGCAATTCGAGGATTTGAATATTAATCAAGCAAAACTAGCTTGAATAATACATGCTGTTTTAAAATCTTCTCAATATAAATGTTCAAAGTGTAGTAAAACCGGTCATAATTCTTGCAATTGTCCTAAAAATAAAAAGAAGAGCAAGTCCAAACATTCTAACAAAAGCAGATTCAAGAAAAAAGGTAAGATTAATATAGCTACTAAAGATTCAGATTCTGAGTCCAATGCTAGCTCTTCTAATAATAAATCTAATTCCGACTCTGACTCTGGGTCAAGTTTTGGTTCTGAATCGGAATCTGATTCTGTGAATGACTTAACTGAGACTAAAATCGTGAAAATTATCAATGCTGTTAAATAAAAAAAAAAGTAAAATGGAAGAGTAAATCGGATAAATCATCTAAAAAGTCTAGTTCAAAGAAGAGACAGAGTCTTGAATCTCTGATTTAACATTCTTCACAAAAAATACAAAAGAAATCAGGTACAAATATTGACTCGCAAATGCGGAAAATTATCCTAGCTATGTTTAACGATCCAGAGGTTATAGAAATGATTAAAAACAATATTAATAATACAAATTTGTCTATGACTTAAAGAGTCGCTGTGGTACCACTCCCTAAAGGGCCTGCAAAACCTGACTTTATAAATTATCGAAAGCCAGCTCCAGAAATATCCAAATCAGATGACAGAGAGAAGATGCTGGACGATCCTATGGAGATAGATTTTGTTTGAAGAAAGGAACCTACCACAAGCCTTGCAACTATACCAGTTAAAATCAAACGCTTAAAAATTCCAGCATTGGTGCTAGATAGTGGAGCTGAACCTCCAATTATATCGGAAGACATTGTTAAACATGTAAATTGGCTAATTGATAAATTAGAAAAATATGATCTTAGGGGGTTGCTACAGTCCTAACAGAATCTATTGGTATTGCTCATAATTTTCCAATAACATTCCCTCCAGGTTTTACTATACGTGAAGATTTTGTAGTTGTACATGTCCCTAAACCAACATTGATATTTCCAAATCAACTTCTCAAGAAATATAAATGCGCTATAGATTGGGGAAAAGATGAATTGAAAATTCCTTTCAATGGAAAGGATCACATTATTCCAGTAACTATGCACAAAGTCAAAAATAAACTCGAAATAAATTGTGCTACTATATCTCAGAATGATATGCCTTTGATATCTGATCAAATTTCTCAAGAGACGGATAATGATAAAGATAACAGTGTTTTATTCAAAAGGTGGTGTGCTCCTGTGGGTTTTAGCCCAGATTCTAATGATTCATTATTAAAAAAAAACGCATGAGCTATGAGGAGTTAGAAAAATCATTATATACTACTCTTCAGTCTAAGATTGAAATAAATAATCTTTGTGAAAAGTTGCAAATGCGTTATGAAAAGCTACTTGAACATATCTCTTCCAGAAATAATAACAAAAGATAAATCTAAGTAGTAGCTAATAGGCAAGTCATCTTCGCTTTATTTCTTTCATCTCTTCTGGCTTCTTTTTTATACAATGTATTCAGATCCTCACTACTTATTTTTTTTGTAGGCTCGAAGAGCCATTGCTTTGCAATAGAGTCTTCAGTATTAACCGGTATTGAGTTACTGCTAGGTATTGGATCAGATATGCGAATAGTGTTACACTTGATCTTCGCCCAAGATCATCACTACCCCTTGTCCGATTTTCACTAGCATTTACTCTTGAAATGTTAC